TTTACTTTTACTTAAGAGATAACCTGTTGTGTTCACAAAATTCGCTAAGACATAAACTTTGATCAACTTTAAAGCGTATTTAACCGTCTTGGCGCTCAATCGACTTTTGGCGCTTATCAACAACAACAAAAAAAGCCGCCAAATTTTTCGGGTTGCATTTTGTTTATTAAACTTTTAAAATACAAAACGCATTTTTAAACATTTAAAACACAAAACACGTCCGCACTCTTTTTAAAGTAACAAAACGCATTTTTAAACATTTAAAACACAAAACACGTCCGCACTCTGTATTTTTAAAGTACATTCTTCATCATCATCACCATATCGTCGTTGTATATAAGGAATTCCGGCTATGCTGTTGCAAAATGAATGGCCACCGTGATTTATATCACTATATCGCCCAAATATAGCCTCTAATATCTATATAAGTTAGGCCTAAGCGTTAAACCACCAAATTAAGAACAATGTTATCTAAATTACACGAGTGCAACGTAAGTGGTTGAGATTGAACCATAGTGTCAAATGAAGCTACGTCACGTACCGCTTCTTTATCACATTATACTGTACTCACCTGCACGCAATCCGAAGACGTACAATTGATTAAAATATTGAAAAATATTAAAACTATCTCGCGTCACAATGTGATGGAGGTCAGTGTAAAACGATGAACCCGCGCTTTGGTACTTGCAATTTTTATGGATATAGTCACATGACAATGTTTCGACCAATGGCTGCTTTGCCCCGTTGAGTGCTGTTCGGAACTGTTAGGATTGTTAGGACCTGAGTTAGAAATTGTTCCGAGTGTGTTAGGACTTGTAACAAATGGTTAGGAATGGTTAGGCTGTATGATCGCTGGCGGGTACGGCCACGACTACAGATACAGGCCACTCTCTGCCCTGTTTGTGTGCAACACTGCTGCCTGACCCACTTGAAATCCATAGCCCTAGCCAGCTCAGTCACCCAGCGGAGATTGCAAGCTAGCCCTGCAAGCAGATAAAACAGCGGTCCCACTGAGGAGAAATCAGGCTGCCATGTCTCATCCTCTGGAATGGGGTTTTTCAGTGCTGGCCCTGGGGACCCACGGCACTGCACATTTCGTAGATCTGTCTTATTCTACTCACTCGCTTCACTTCATGAGCGCTCTTTCCTAACGAGCTGACCATCAGAATCGGGTGTGCCAAACAAGGGAGATGCACAAGGTCCCCAGGAGCAGGCCGGAACACCACTCTATTAGAGAGACAGCAGCACAGATGGACCGACATGACAGCAAGCTGAGGCCGCCAACAAGAAAAAGGCACTTTGCCTGAACAGGGACTTGAATCCTGGACCCTCAGATTAAAAGTCTGATGCTCTACCGACTGAGCTATCCGGGCTCATGTGCAGTGCATGCTCTTACGTTTTATATAACAGCAGTTTTCCCACAAGCCTCCCAGAAGAAGTGCATGCCTCTTACGTTTTATATAACAGCAGTTTTCCCACAAGCCGCCCAGAAGAAACTCATTTGCCACACGCGCTTTGGGATGAAAACCACATGGAATTATGGCAGACAGAAAAAAAGGACAAAGGCCTCAGAAGGCACAATTATCTTCACAGAGAGCGGTACAGCAAACTCCAACCATAGTCGGCAGGGTTTGAACCTGCGCAGGGAGACCCCAATAGATTTCAAGTCCATCGCCTTAACCTGTCAGCCACGACTACGCCTGGCAGCAGCCTGCCTGCTCTCTTGTCTGGTGGCGATCAGCACAGGCCAAGCTTCAAACACAAAATTCAGCTGATGGATGAGGTGGAAAAAAGGGTCCAGCTGTCCCCATTGCTCAATGGCAAAGGGATGCCGTGACCCGGATTCGAACCGGGGTTCGTGCAGCCACAACCCAGAGTACTAACCACTATACGATCACGGCGTGCCACTGGCTCACCCTTGGTGACTACTGCAGCCAGAATACAAAAAGCGCCAGCGGTGTGTTTCTCCATTTCAGAGGGACTGGGACATTTCGCATATCTGTGCGAGGTATATAAAAGAAAAATGCACAGCCACTTATCCTCATGGCTGTCAGCAGAGTGCATAGTCGGCAGGATTCAAACCTGCGCAGGGAGACCCCAATGAATTTCTAGTCCATCGCCTTAACCACGCGGCCAAGAACAGGGCAAAAGGGACTGCTACAAGGGGAAAGAAAGGGAAAAGAAAAGGGGAAAGGAGGGAAAGAAAGAAAAGGAAAAAAAAGAAAAAAAATCCATCATACTTCATGAACACTCACAAAGGATTCAAGTAAAGGGTTTGATTGATTTTTGACTATATATTTTCTAATAAAAACTGATAATAACAATAATAATAATAATAATAAA